AGCCTATCACTAAGTACTACACAGTTTGATTATTTGCTTATTGTCTGTCCTTCTCCACCAGAATGCCAGGGCTTTTTATTTATTCTGTCAGTACTGTGTCCTCAATATCTAGAACCGAATGTTTGTTGAATGAATGATGAATTGTCGGGAGAAGAAATAGGCCTTGGTGTTGTGGGTAGCTATCAGTTTTATAGTTAGAATGGAGAGGTGTGTTTGATCTGGTGAATCTGCTGACTGGATATCAGTTAAGAGAACTTTAAATCCTAAAACTAAATGGTTAATGTTAAATTGGTAAGCGTAGGGAGGAAAAGGGTGGAATGAGTTTATTACAGGGCTGATATAGACTGATATAGATTGGAGTGAAAGGAAGGCTTCTCTGAGAAAGAAACATTTAAAAGGACAGCAAAATCTTATATTGGAATTAAGTAGGTGAAGAGTGGGGAAAGAGGATTTCATGCGGAGCAAACAAACATTCCCTGCAGCGAGAATGACCATGAAAAGTTCCATGAATTGAAGGTCAAGGTGATGGTACTGAAAGGAACAAGGGGGCAAGCGACATCATCCAGGCCACCTATCACCGTCAGTATTAGAGTAAGCTTAAATAGCTGTTTTGATTACCAGTCTAGTACTTTAACTGAAGAAGAAATGGCTTACACAGAAGAATTTTGTGTAAATAGTGTATGGGAATGTGGTAGAGAAGAAAAGTTAGTTAAGAGCAGAAGGTTTTTCAACATCCCTGAAAATAGAACCTGAGCAATATTGTCTGTCCACACCTGGAGGTCAGAAGTGGTTGTCCCAGTTTATCTGTGTGGATGCTAGATCAAATCTTAAATTAAGAATTGAAGATCTCCCCAACTGGAAAAATGTCCTCTCTGGAAGAGCATTTCAGGTTTTATATTTCACGTTATTTGATGGGTATAATTGACAGGCTGATGGTCCAGGCTGAAAAGATTTGTGAGGCTAAGATTCTCAGTTGCCTTTATGTAGATTTAGAAAGACCAGAGATTATTTGCCTTCAATTAAGGAAAGGTGGAAGATTATATCAATATTATTTGCTTTTATTCCTCTTTCTCCTCCCTTTTTCCCCCTCTATTAACCACTTTCTTTGGAGTTAAAGACCGGAGCCAAGAAGAGGTGAGCCACGGACAGATGAAGTGGTTCTCGGACTGCTGCCCTATGCTCTCAGCAATGAAAGAGAAGTTGGCCGAGGTCAGTCCGTACTTTGAAGATACCGTAGTGACTTGGCTTCTTGATTAGAAACCAGGACTAGTAGAGTAGCTGAGAGAAGCGGGCCCTGGGGCAAACCGGCT